ATCTATGGGAGAGGGCTGGTCTGGAGGGTGGACCAACAGACAGGCACAGACACACTGATCCCATATGGGGTGACAAGGCCCCTGGTGAAGGTTACGGCCACAGAGGGACAGCCTCTTCCCACGGTGCGGGGCCCCTGTCTGGTCCCTTTCTCCAGCGTGGGGTTAAGAGTGAGATTTCTGGAGCAAATCTCAGATGTATGAGTTCTCTCTGGGCCTGTTTTCCCATCTGTAAAATGGGATGACATGGGCTGCCTCACAGGGAGGGCTGTTAGGAGACTGGAAGGGCCCTCAGACCGAGCCTGGCTCACGGCGCCCGCTCAGCAAAGTCCCATTTCTTATCCATCTTTGTCCTGACCACCCTTCGCAGCCCGAGTCCCTGGCTGCAGAGGAGTCTCGGGGATTAGAGGAGGAAGGAAGGGCACCCTGTGCACCGCTCAGCGGGAAGCCCGGTCCAGCCCTCCCGGGCCAGCCCTCCCGGCGCGCCCCTTCACAGAGAGACGGGTTCACAGCCCCGAAAGCCGCTGGGCCCGGCGGGTCCCCGCAAAAGCAAGCGGCATGGGGACTGGAACTCGGGGTTGCCTGCCTGTGAGCTGTGTGACGGGCATTCTTGCCTGCACGGCAGGGTCCTTGGGGTCCTGGTTCAGGTCTTGGCCTGGGCCCAACTCCCCTAGTGAGTAGCTGGCCTCACCACTCCCCCGCTCTGGACCTTGCGGAGCCAGGCATCCAGGCAGAACCAGGGTCTCCCTCCTTGCCTCTGCATTCAATGCCACTGATGGCCCGCCTACCCTCCCTCAGAGCCTCCCTCCCGCAAACGCGGCTGCTCGGTTCTTTCCAAGGGGGTCCTGCTTCCACGTCCTCTCCCTATGCAGGGCTGCAGGGCACGCATCCCACCGCCCCACACCCAGACGCACCTTCCCTCCACTCTCCGAGCCTGGGGCCTTGGAGGGGTGGTAGGGGGAGGGGAAGGGGGTCTGTGAGCATCTTTTTCTAATCTCACCAAAGCACCTTAATTGCTAGTGGCGCCCAGAACCCCCTCCTCTCTGCCGGCCCAAATTCCACTCGGGCGACTAGGGCCAATGGCTTACTATTTATTTATTGCTTAAAACCCTTTTATTAGCGCCCTCCTTCCCTGCGGAAAATGCAGCTCTGTGGCTGGCAGGGCTGTAGCCATAAAATCATTCGAGTGGCTCGGCCCTCCCCCAAGGGAGGAGGGGCTGGGGCTGTAAAACCAGGGCTGGCAATCTCAGCCATAAAGAGGCTGAGATCAGAAAGGGCCTGCACGTGGACTTCAAGATCAAAGGAGTGGGGGCCGGGAGGAGCTGGAACACAGGTCCAAATGCTGCCTGGCTTCTCCTGGCCCTGACCCTCTCCAGAGGGGGCTGGTCAAGGCACAGCCGGGCACTCAGGATATCCCAGGAAATACCAAAGCTCTGAGAACCTACTAAGCCTCCTATCTGGGCAGGGGCTGCTTCCCTGATCCTGCCCCTCCCTCATCTTGCTCACCCTCTAATTCCTTTCACACCTGCCCATCCTGTCCAGTCAGCCTGCCTCAGTTCAAATCTTGGCTCCACCCCACTTGGCAGCTGTGTGACCCTGGGCTAGTCACTCAACCTCTCTGGGCCTCAGCTGTCTCAATCACAAATGGAATGATAATAGTTCATCTCAAATGGTTGTTGTGAGGATTGAGTAAGTCACAGTAAGCACTTAAAAAGCTCTCCAGGGCCCTGGCTGGTGAGGCTTAATTGGTTGAGCAATGTCCCGGGCACTGAAAGGTTTCGGGTTCAATTCTTAGTCAGGGCACATGCTGGGTTTCTGGCTCGATCCCTGGTAGGGGGCGTGCAGGAGGCAGCCGATCCATGTTCCACGCTCACATCCATGTTTCTCTCTATCTCCACCTCTCCCTTCCTCTCTCTCTACAAATCAATAAAAATATATATTTTTAAAAGTTCTCTAAGGATTAATGTCCCCAGGGCTCGTCCCCACATTGGCTGCACAGCCTGTAAACTGACCATAACTATCCGTGTCCTGCCTACGTTCTGCTTCTTTTTTCTCTTAAAATTTTTATTTTGCCCCTGTTATGTTTTCAGCCTGCCGCAGACATACAAGGTACATGGAACATAAAATTCATAAAGCAAATGGGTAACAAACCCCATGAACTAGAACATTCTGAGCGATGTGCCTTGCTGGTGTCTCTGGGCTCCTTCTTGTCCCCTGGGCCTCCTCCTCACAACCGCTATCCCAAATTAAATCCTTGTCAGTTGCTTGGCTTTTGGGGGGACAGTTTCATCACATAGGCCTGTATCCCCCAAACACTATATTGCTTAACTTTTCTTGTAGGGGTAGAAAGGGGACTTAAAAATGGCATCGGGCTGCAGGCGGTGTCTGAGAATTGCTTCTTAGACTTGACTTTGAGAGTCACTCAGGTCACTGCCCGTGTGGGCGCCTCGGGTCCACGCAGCCTCTCCCTTCCTCCCCGGCTGCTGGGCTTTGCCTGCAGTCGCCTCTCCCGTGCCCTGCCCTTCCTCACCCTTCCTCACCCGTCTTCTCATCCTGACTAATCACCCTGCCGGCTCGGCTCAGCGGCCGCCTCACTCACCTCCGTTCATTCCCTGACATCATTCTGGGAGATGTCGTGCCCCGCCCCCGCGCCGAGGACCGCAGGGGTGGTCCCACCCGGTCCCTGTCTGGGAATAGGTCAGCATTTGGGTGCCATGGGATGGGTTTGAAACTAGAAGCATGATCAGGGATCTCCCTGCGGCGGCCCAGTCTTAAACTGTGTGAAAAGTTTGCTGTGGGAAGGAGAGCGGCCCTCCCAGGCAATGGAAACTTCAGGCGCAAAGGCCCAAAGGCAGGTGACCCAGGCCGCAGGGGCCGTGGGAGCAGCCAGATGGGGCCCAGTTAGCATGGAGGGTGTTGACTGTGGGAGCAGAGAGGCGAGGCCACAGAAGAAGCAAGGCAAGCGCTAGGACCCCAGGCCCGCTCCCCCATTTTAAAGCAGGGCAGCTCCGTCTTGACCTCTGCGATGTAGTTCTGCTCGGGAGTAAGATTTCTCTTGGCCAAAGGTCTCTGTGTCTTTAAAATGTTTTGGAAACCACCACCGCGGGCGCTGGGGAGCCATGGAAGCACTGGAGCTGGGGATGGCCAGGGGTAGATGTGGCCATTAGAAGAGACTTCTCTGGGAATCCCTGCAGAGGGAACCGAATATGCAAAGGCACTGGGGCAGGGAATGGTGAGGTGTGGCTGAGAAATTTGAGGTCAAGGGCTAGACGGAATGCAGGCGAGGGAGGAGATTGAGCTGGGAGGCCAGTGTGGCAGGGCTTGGAGTCACTTTGGGATTGGGAGCCAGGGAGGGGCAGTTCTGGGAAGGACTGGAGGCAGGGAGGCTAGGGTGAGGCTCTAGGGGCTAAGAGGAGGCCTGAGTTGGGGCCTGGGAATGAAGAGAGTCAGGTTAGAGGAGAGTGGGGTTGGGCAGTGACAGGCTGTGGGAGGGAAAGGAAGGAAGGGACAAGGACAATGCATGGGGGTCATCCTGGTGAGTGATGGGCGCATCCCTGAGACGGCAACCCAGGAGGAGGAACAATGCTTGGGAAGCTGCTGAGTTCAGTGGGGGTGTTGTGTGTCTGAGGGGTATGGGATGAAGCCCCAGAAAGGATGTTAAGGGCCCTCATGAGAGGCATCCCTCTGGGTCCAAGGGATTCCAGAAGCTCATGAAAAAGAAAGTTGAAAGTCTCAGGGGATACAGACATTCAGTCTAGAAGCATCTTACAAGTGAGGGTTATTTACCCCCATTTTTCAGATGAGGAAACTGAGGCTGAAACCGTTTTAGAGCTGGGAGCTCAGGTGGGGATCCAGTTTATCTCTGCAGGGAGAAACTGCAGGACCTGGAGGACCTGGAGGAGAGAACACTAGGACCTCCTTAAACAGAGCTGGGCCAGCCTCGTGGCCTCCCCGAGCTTGAGAGGCCCAGAGACACTGTGAGGCTTGTCTACGTCACACAGCAATTAGAATCCAGCTGCTCCAATCTCTGGAGTCTGGGGCACCAGGGTGAGGGAGGGAAGACGAGGACCCGAAGCAGTATACCCTGAGGTGGCTGGAAGGGCCCAGAAAGACAGTGGGAGGCCCTTGCCTGGCAGAGTGTAAGATATTGGGAGTTGCAGATAATCTAAGCAGCTTGCTGTGTGACCTTGGGCCAGAGGCCCTCTCTGAGCCTCTGCTTGCTCATCTGAAAAATGGAGCCATGGGGAAGAGGTATCACCAAGGCTGCTGAGGACAGGAGAAAGCACAGACTCTGAGGTCAGACATACTGGGTTCAAATTTGCTCTGGCTGCATGATCACAGTCACTTTCCCTCTCAGCCTCAGTTTCCCCAGCTGGAAAGCTGGTACTATATAACTATCTGACCCATCCCCAGAAACAAAGGAGTCACGCTCAAGAGATGGAGAGTGCTCTGTCCTAACCAGTCCTATGAGGTCCGAGGAGTCAGAGCCACCTTCCCAGCCCCCAGGCCCTGGGACACAGCCTCGGGCTCTGGGACTCAGCTGTATCCTGAATCCCACCCACTTCTGCTCTCCCATCACCCCAACGGAGCCGGTAGCACATTCTGAGCCACTGTGAGGGGAAGCACCCCGATTTGCGGGCTTTCTGGGGTGTCCAGGGAGGAAAGGGGTACAGCGGGTTCTCAAGTTTCCTGAGCAACTACTGTGCGCCAAACCCTCTGCTCTCGCACCGAGTCCTACATCAGGGAGACGAACGGCTGTGGGCCCCTTTGACAGACAGAGAAACTGAGGCCCCAAGAGGGACACGGATACCCCAGGCATCCCAGCTGGTGACTCAGGACAGTCCAAGTCCCCCACTCCCTTCTAAGAGGAACCAGCACCCCAGAGTGACCGAGCCAGCCCAGTCCGGCCGGCCAAGCCCTGGGGCCTGAGGCTGCAGGAGGCCGGGACCAACTTCACAGAGGCCGGCTCTTCCCTCAGGCCACCTCCTCCGGGGCTGTCTCACCTGATTTCCGAGATGTTGTTCTCGTAGGTGCCCCACAGGGCCGGGGGCCGGGGCTCCGCGGGCCCGTCCATGGCAGGCGGGCGAGGGTGGGGAGGGGAGGACGCGGGGAGCGACGGCGGCTCAGGGACCAGCAGCCGCGCCTGCAGCAGCCGCGTCTGCCACCCGGGGAACCCGCCAGGTGCCTACCTCCGCACCCAAGGGGAGGGGCAGCACCCAGCCGGTTCTCCCAGCTGCTACCCACGCCTCCACCAGCGGGGAGAGGCCGGGAGGGAGCCACCCTTCGAGAGTGGGGAGGAGGGGTGATGGGCAGGTCCTGGGCACCCGGGAGCGTGCGGGGCAGAGGCTGGGGGCTCGGCGCCAACCCCCACGCCACAGCCCTCCAGGCGGCTGGCCGGCCGAGCCCACCCGCAGCCCGCGCTGTCCTCCTGGCAGAGGAGCTAATCCCGTCCCCGAGCCTGCGCTCATCCATTCAACAAGTTTTTACTGAGCGCCTCCTGCCTGCCAGCCGCTTTTCTAAGGGCTGGGTACCGCGGGGCACGGGGGACAGAAACTGCCCTTGGGGGCTGACACTGGGAGAGGCACAACCTGGAAAGAGACGGAGAGAGACGCGGCCGGGGCCACAGCAGCACAGACAGGAGACACAGAGAGGGCAGAGACACTTGGAGGGTCAGAGACACGAGAGACAGAGACACACAGAGAGATGAGACAGCGAGAGACACAGAGAGGCAGAAGTACACAGAGGGTCAGAGATAGAAACAGGGAGACCGAGACAGAGAGAGACAGAGACCAAGGCCGAGACTGAGACCCACAGAGAGACAGAAATACACACAGGGCCAGAGATAGAAACAGAGAGACAGGGGCACTTAGAGGGGGTCAGAGACTGTGAGAGACCCAGAGAACAAGAGAGACAGAGACACAGAGAGCAAGAGGCCAAGGAAAAGATGGAGAAACCAGAGAGTAAGAGACAGTGAGAGAGAGTGAGAGACAGCGAGACGGAGAGCCGCAGAGATGAGCGGATAAGGCCGGGCACCTGCCTGCACCGCGGCTCCAGCGCCTCCCGGCCTGGCTCCTGGACCTGGTCCCGCCGCCCCTCGTGCCTCAGCTTCCCCGACTGTAAGAGGCACTTATGTCGCGGGGCTGTTGCGACGACCGGGTGAACCGTCTCTCAAGTGGGAGGCTTGGTAAAGCCAGCGACCCCTTTTGCTCAGCGCGCCCAAACCCGGCCGCGCCCACCTGCTGGCCTCCTGGCCTCGGACCTGGAGTGGTCACAAAGACCCGTCCCCGCACCACAGGTTCTTCGTTTTGTAGGACAAAAGGAGTGTGTGTGCCTTTTTTTTTTTTTTTAAATATCTGAGCAGATAAATCTAGAAGGAAAGTAAGGGTCCCTGTGACCCTCCTTCTGCCCACTAAGGTAACCATCATTAATTAGCGTTTTGGTTGAACCTTTCTAGAAATTTCTCATTTTTCTAGTATGTGCCAGAGAAATTTTGGCTGAATAAGAAAAAAAAAAATCACTATTTAAAATTCTATGTGCTGACCAATCACAGTATGCCACGTGTTGTTGCGAGGTAAGGTGGCACACAGAGGGGGGCTCAGAGAAGTGGAGGGGCTGCCCCCCCCCCGGACACGGCACCCCTCGGTTCACCTGCCCAGAGGCTCATCCCCAGGCACTGTGGTGCGGGGAGCCTCCTCCCACCCCGCACCCGACCACGACTCAGTTTGAATCCTGCCTCGGCTGCTTTCGGTATTAACCTCGATGTTCGCATCTGTGAAAAGGGCGCCCTCGCAGGGAGGCAGGAAATCAAGAGGGCCTGCTGTCCCTGTTGGGGGCTCAGTGGACTTCCCTGGTACCAGGATTGAGGCGACACCTCACCTGGCCCTGGGGCCTGGGTCACCTCGCCCTCATTCTGCCTTCAAAGACCCTTTGTTCCTGGCTCTGAGGAAGTGACAGCCTTGTCCTGTCCCTCCCACTGGAACCTCCACTGAACTCCGTCACAGGTCCCCCACAGTGCTGTGGGAAGTGGAGGGGAGGGGCACTGTGCCAGCCAGAAACCTCAAGTTCCTGAAGGGGGGAGTAAGGGTCTGAGGGGAACAAACTCCCAGGTCCCTGAGGGAGACAGGAAGGGAAAGGGGGGCAGTCCAGGGGGACAGATATCCAGGGAGACCCAATGGGGGTGCAGAAGAGGGTGTTGAAGGGAGAGGGCAGGCCTGGAGGCTGTTTGAGTGGGACGGGACCTAGAGACCCAGGAGACGCTCCTCCTCCAGCCTGTGCCCCTGCTGTTCCCTGTCTGACATGCTCTTCCCCAGGCCTGGGAGCTGCACCGCCACCCTTCACCCAGGTCTGCCCTGTCACCGCCCTCCGAGCCCTCCCACCAATGTCTCCCTCTCCCTCCCGGTTGACTTTTCTCCATAGCACTCACCACTGTTGGCCTCCTGCTTTCCTTCCTGGTCCTATTGCCTGTCTCCTCATTAGACTGTCACCCCCGTGAAGACAGGGCTCATGAGTTGTTTGTCCCCACTGTGTCCTGAGGGAAGAGCTCCCAGAACACAGGTGTTCAATAAATGCTATTGACAGAAGAAATGGATCATCTCAGAGGGATGGGAATGAGTGAGTGGTGCTGCCCTCAATGACGGGAGGGCACGGTCCGTAATGGGGCCCACTGACCCCACAGAAATGGATCTGGGGGTGTCTAGGCATTTGGAGGACAGGGAAGAGACTTGGAGGAGGATGGGGAGAGGAAAGTGGGAAACACAGTGCCAGCTGGATGGGGGGGGCACTGGGAGGAGCAGCAATTGTCCACCCATCATCCATCCATTCATCTCTCCATCCATCCATCCCTCCATCCCTCCATCCATCCAGCTGTCCATCCATCCATCCATCCATCCATCCATCATCCATCCATTTCTCTATCTATCCATTTATCTATTATCCATCCATCATCCATCCATCCATCATCCATCCATCCATCCATCCATCCATCCATCATCCATCCATCCATCCATCCATCCATCATCCATCCATCCATCCATCCGTCATCTATCTATACCTCTGACTAATATCTGAGGAGGCCTCCTCTGGGTCATCCCCCAATGAGACAGGTAAGTAAACACTACATTTCCATTTAACTCTTGGAAACCAAGCATCAGAATTGAGACACAGCATGTAAAGTATTCCAAGAGTAACTTTTATACTGATTACATATTGAAATGATGATATTTTTCATATATTGGATTAAATAAAACATAGTCCTAAAATTAATCTCACCAAGCAGGTGAGTAAAACTTTTTACTTTCTAACAAAATGTGGCTGCTAGGAGGTTTAGGATGACACACCCAGCTAAGTCCTGGTTGGACTGACTGCTGACCTGGGGTAACTTCAGACTGCTTGGTGTCCTGCCCATAGACACTGGCCTCTTTGGGGGTCCAGGCAAGGATGCCCCAGTAGGGAAACTCACCAGGTGAGGGGCCAGAGTAGAGAAGGCATCCAGGTGGAGGGCCTGGTGCAGGTGAAGGCCTAGAGGCTGGAGAGACAGCTGGGAAGTTTTTCCCCAGGTCTAAGGAGGGACATCTGGAGAAGCAGGGGAGGG